ACAGTCACTTGTCTGAGATGGTATAGGTCAGGGATAGGCAACCTTGGCTCTTTTATGACTCATGGACTTCAACTCCCAGAATTCCTGAGCCAGCATGGCTCTGCATGGAAACCTCCTTTTCCCTTCAGCATTGCTGGCTCAGGAATGCTGGGAGTTGAAGTCCACAAGTCATGAAGGGGCCATAATTCCCCCATGCTGGCTCAGGAATTCTGGGAGTTGAAGTCCATGAGTCATAAAAGAGCCAAGGTTGTCTACCCCTGGTATAGGTTCTCCTGCTTAAGCGGGGGGCTGGACCAGAAGACCTCCAAGGTCCCTTCCAGCTCTATTCTATATATAAACCCTGTATTCCTATACCAGATAAATATTATTATTATGGTTCATAATAATACAAGCCACCTTTTATGGCCTTCTCAAGACCTGGAATAAGCAGATATGTTAAAGCAGACATGCCAAACTCGTGACATCACGTCTGCCAATCTTTTCTCTTTATATATCACTCAATTATCTAGAATAGTTGAGGAGACTAAATGTACAAGATATTTTTTTTCCATTTTGAGTTTTGGTTCTTTTCCTTTTTACCACTGTCCATGCTCTAAAATTTTGCTAGATAGCAATTAGGAAAGAAATTAACATAAAATGGACACAGGCATTTATTTTCATAATACAGCTGCACTGAGGAAAAGGAAAGCCATAAGAATGAGAAATAAGCAAATGTACCATTTTTTTTTAAAAAAAAAAAAACCAACCCTGTTAATTAAACAAAATTATTCATTATTTTCCCAGCCCATTTGCACCAAAGAATTTAAAGACAATTCTGCAATGGCAACACCAGCTCTCAATAGACCCCGGTTGAGAATGAAACGTAACATGAAAATGAAGACATTTTAACAGCCTTTTAATTACAACCTGCTCCCATGCTGCTGTTTTCAGGGGTGCCTGCTAGGCAGACCCCCCCTCTTTAAAAAAAAAAAAAAGCTGTGTGTGTCAGTTTCAAAAGAGAACTGGAAAGTCTGTAGTTTTCCTGCCTTCATGCATGTCCTTCCAATGATTTAAATGCAATTCTCCCTCTTGGATCGAAGGTCAGGGTGGCACAGGGGCTGGATCAGAACTGAGTGCGAATCCTCCCCTGGTTGACTTTGAGCCCGTCCCTCCCTTTCATTCTCAGCCCAGCCTACCTTGCAGGGGTGTTGGGGGGGAGAAAGAAGGAAGAAAGCATTATTTGGGCTGCCTCGAGTTTTTGAAATAAAGGTAGGCTATGCATCTCAGAGTCAAATATATGGGGGGGGGAAACAAAACCAACATTAACCCAAAGGCAGGAAGAAACCAGCAAAGGCACAACTCCGGGGGGGGGAGGGGGGGCTGGACTAGATGACCTACAAGGTCCCTTCCAACTCTATTATTCTATTGTATTCTGCACTCTGGACCCCAAGAAGGGGGATCCTCCATTGAGGCCGGGGAGGGGGGGGGGAAAAGCCCAGACATCTTCAGGGGATCCAGGCAGGATCAGACGGACCGAAGGGAAAACAGGGACCAGCAAGAGAGCCCCGGGAAGCCATGCAGCCAGATCCGCATCTCCAGGGAAGCGCGACGGCTGTGCGGAGAAAGAGCCCATCCGGAGGACCGCGGGCCCGGCTCTCCGTTCATAATCCCGGCTCGCAATGGGGACTAATGGGGAGGGGGCTGAAGGAGACCACCAAACATACACGGCTCGACCCACCTCCGCAGCCGCCTGCGGCTCCGCTGCCCCCGCGGCCCATGTAGAGGCCAGTCCGGGACCCAGGGGGGCATCGAGACGAGGGCGCAGAGCGGTTGCGCGTGAAGCACGGAGGTCACCCAATCTCTATGGCGAGGGAAGCCATAGAGATGGTAGGGCTAGAGCGTTCGAGGAGGAGGAGGAGGGACGGATAGGGGTAGGCCACCTTGGCTCTTTTATCGCTCGTGGACTTCAACTCCCAGAATTCCTGAGCCAGCCATGCTGAGGGAAAAGGGAGAGGTTTCCATGCTGAGCCATGCTTGCTCAGGAATTCGGGGAGTTGAAGTCCACGAGTCATAAAAGAGCCAAGGTTGCCTACCCCTGGTTACATAGCCGGGTTTCTCAAGCTTGGCAACTTGAAGACGGATGGACTTCAACTCCCAGAATTCCCCAGCCAGCTAATGTGTACAATTTTTATTGTCCAATTGGTGATTTCTACCCTCCTCCTTTACGTTTCCGTCCTTCTCACCCATGGGAAAAAAAAAAACATTGCATTTTCTTTTGCCAACTCAAATAATGCGTTGGCCAGGGAATAAAGTTGTCTCTTTGTGTTGGGTAGCAGCATCTTTCCAAAGGACCAGTTATTACCGGCTCTTTCAGTGAAGGTAAAAAAAAAAGAGCTGAACCCAAGGCTTTCCACTTTTTAAATGCATAGTCCTGCTCCAATGTGTTCTTTGCCTATTTTTATTTTTATCTCTTTTTTTTTATAAGTAACACAGCAAATATATCTAATACTTCTTTATTCTATTCTTCCCCACAACAACAATCCTTTGAGGTGGGCATTCAGTGCAGGAGTAAAAGCTTGATAACAATTGGAATCAATTCAAATAGGAGGAAGGATACAGGTAGTCCTCGACTTACAATCGTTTGTTTAGTGGCCATTCGAAGTTACAACGGCACTAAAAAAAGTGACTTATGACTGTTGTTCATACTTACGACCGTTGCAAGATCCCCACGGTCACATGATCAAAATTCAGGAGCTTGACAACCGGTACATGTATTTATGATGGTTGTGGCGTCCCAGGGTAATGTGATCCCCTTTTCTGACTTTGTGATAAGCAAAGACAATGAGAAGCCAGATTCACTTAAGAATGCATTACTAACTTAATTGCAGTGATTCACTTAACAACTGTGGCAAAAGGTCGTAAAATGGTACAAAACTCACTTAACGGTCTAGCGTAGTAATGGAAATTTGGGTCTCAACAGTGGAGATTGTGACTAATCATATTAGGTATGTGTGCTGCCTCGAGTTACTTAAAAAAACAAAATAAAGGCAGAGTAAAAAATAAATATTTTTTTAAAAATTGGTCAGGGAAACATCTTCATCATTTAAAAGGTTCATTTGGAAAGAACTCAAATTATGGGAGATGAAAGAGAACATGTAAAGAATTTTTTCCAAATGCAATAAAGATGCTTGGAGCTTCTGCCACTAAGCCGTGTGAACGTGATCTGCTGATGTGTTTGGCATTCTGCTATTTTTTTTTCTAGACCATGCTGCAAAATTGTAAAGGTTCCACCAGCGATTATAGGGTAACTGAGCTACTTTCTAAAACTAAAGCTCAGACAAGTGCAGCTGCCAATGAGATAATTGCTTGTTCTTACCAATTAATGCTACGGTAATCAGGTGGGATTTTGCACAACTGGAATCAGACACCTCTGAATGGGTGGGTTTCAAATAGGTCAACAACCAGTTCTGCGTGGATACCGCTTCCAGAAGTCCGTTCTGGGCTTGGACAACAAAAAATTAGCTACCGGTTCTACCAAAGTGGGGCGGACCAGCTGAATCCGACCATTGCTCTGAATAGTGGTATTTTGTGGCTGACTGGAGGAAACCTTTTAATCATGGCATGAGTGTAATTTATACACCCCAGTAGACGCACCACAGAATGGACATTAGTGGAAAAATTTTACTATGCAAAGTTCTGAGAAAAAAAGAGGAACATTATTGAGATACTAATTTTCCCATGGTTACTGACAGAAAAAGAACCCAAGCATATTGGTTTCATAAGCTCTGCAGAAACATGAAAGTCAACCTGATCCCTTCTCTGCAGTACCATAAATAAAGTTGCTGTTAAAGCAGAATTTCCCAAGCTTGGGCATTTTAAGATATATGGACTTCAATTCCCAGAATTCTCCAGCCAGCCTCCTAGTGAACTTTAAGATGGGCGGACTTCAATTCCCAGAATTGTCTGGCCAAACATGGCTGGCTAGAGAATTCTGGGAATTGAAGTCCACGTCTTAAAATTCCCAAGGTTGGAAAGCGTTGTATTAAATCAGTGGTTCTCAACCTTTTTAATGCCGTGACCCCCAACCGGTTGTAAGTCGAGGACTACTCAACCGGTCGTAAGTCAAGGACTACTCAGCTGGTGCAGCACCGTTTATACACTGGGACTTTTGGCGGGCTCAGCAGGGCAGAGACAGCCTGGACAATTCCTACTGGCTTTTGAAAGCCAATAGAATTAGACTCTATTCAAGAGAGTCTATTCTATTGGCTTTCGAAAGCCAATAGAATAAAAGGGAGGAGCACAGCTAAGGAAAAGGGGGAAAAAAATGGCGGACTGCATTGTTTGGCGACCCCCGTGAAATGGTCGTTCGACCCCAAATGGGGCCCCGACCCACAGGTTGAGAACCACCGTATTAAAGGCATTTGTGTCCCAGTACATGTACTTTTGTTTACTATTGTATTTTTTATTCTTTATAGTGTATGCTGCTCTGAAGTTGACTTAAATCCCTTCAAAATCGGCCAACAAATAATGTATGTTAAGTTGGTAATAATATGATGAATGAGTAAAAGTACTGATTTGCTTTGAACTAAGTACATCTCCGTTACAACGTTCAACCTTTTTTTAAAAAAAAAAATAACTACTTTAACAGATTAGGAAACTATCTCATCCTTTCACAGATCCTTCTTTGAGTGCTGTGTCACACTAAAAATAGGTTTCGTTTTATTAGTTTTGTATATTATCCCGAGGAAGAAAACAAAGGGCGTATTACATTGTCAGTGCCTGTGGTTAACAGGCTATTTTACAAAAAAAAAAAGAGAGCAAATGAAATGTTCCATGTTCAGGTATCTCTTCCTCCTTTTATAAGCAGATGTTTCCCTAACAGAGTCACATGTTTTCTCAGTGAAATAGAAACACGAGAATATTCTTTATTTTGGCAAAACAAAGGGGAAAAAAGCAAAAATGTGCTCTTGTGGTTTTCAGAAATTCACCACGATCAGGGAGGAGAACCCACAGCACCATCATTTTATTTTGTTTGTTTATTTATCAAATGTATTGGCTGCTCATCTTACCATCTTACTGTAGCTTGGTTCCTAGGAACTAACAAGGGCAACGTTAACTACCCTGGGGAACCAGAACAGAGGGACCTAGAAGATTCAAACTATCTTCACAAGGTAAGCAGAAAGAAAAAAAGGTGGTCCAAAAGATGTTAATATGGTGTCATGTAACATGGAGATATAATTACAAGGCGAATCTGGCCTAGCTTGCTTTGTGGTTCCTCTTGTGGGATCCAGACAGGAAAACCACTGAATCACAATGGCCGCTGGGGAAAACTACAGTGATCTTGATCTTGTTTCTCAACCTTGGCAACTTTTAAAGACTTGTGGACTTCAGCTCCCAGAATTCTCCAGCCAGTCTTGCTGACTGGGGAATTCTGGGAGTTGAAGTCCACCCATCACCAAGGTGCCAAAGTTGAGAAACGCTGGTCCACAGGGAAAAGTCAGCCGAAGATGGGCCTGTCGCTCTACGTTTACCACCTGTGGACTTCAACGCCTAGAGTGCCTGAGGCAGCCGTGCTGGCTGAGGAATTCTGGGAGTTGAAGTCCACAGGTCGTAAAGTGCCCACCGTTGCCCAGTCCTGCTTTGAGTGGATTGGAAGAGCGTCTCCACCAATGTTCATTCAATGCTTGGCTTCCCCTCCCAGAAGCAGCCCCAGAAGGGGTGGGAAAGCTTAAGACGGTCCCATGGGGAAGGACTGGTATAGACTAACTGAGTCATAGCGAAGGAGCCAGGAGATGGTGAGGGGAACAGGGCTGAACCCACCCAGCCTATTCTGTCTCCCTGGCTTCCTGATCCCAAGAAGACACGGCTGGACAAAAGGGAATGATGCCACAGGGGAAAGGGGGCCCCAGGAGAGAAACCCAGGATGGGGGGCGCCGCTGTCTGAGAGAAGGAGCCCCAGAAAATGTCGCGATAGGAATCAACCTAGCCAGAAGGAGAGTCAAGAGACTTTTACACGGGCCGGGCGCCAGTTGTATGCATGCTAAAATACTCGGTGTAGCCGTTGTGTTGGTGTAGTTGGGGCGCGTGGAGTTGGTAGGGCGGAGGCTGAGTCTCACTCCCCAGAGATGGCTTCAACAGCACAGGGGCACCGCTGAGCTCAGAGGTGGTGACCACGCAGTTGGAGGTCAGGCTACGATCCGCAGAAGAGGTGTCTTCCATTTGTTTGCGGGTCTGGAGGAGGAAAAGTAGGCAGAAAGTCCAAATAAACACTGGCAGGAAAGAAATAACCTTGGTCTTTGTCAGCCTTGCTGCCTCTACCCCAGCGGTCCCCAACTTTGGTCACTTTAAGACTTGTGGACTTCAACTCCCAGAATTCCCCAGCCAGCATTGGGTTAAGGTTGGGGACGCCTGACCTACCCAATGTAAAGCAATAAGATCAAAAGACTCGGCAGGGGATTGGACTAGAAGACCTCCAAGGTCCCTTCCAACTTTATTATTATTATTATTATTGCAGGTTGACTCTGCTCACTGCCAGCAGTTCGATCCTGACCGGCTCAAGGTTGACTCAGTTTTCCATCCTTCCGAGGTCGGTAAAATGACGACCCAGATTGTTAGGGACAATATGTTGATGCTGTAAACTGCCCAGCGAGTGCTGTAAAGCACTACAAAGCGGTATATAAGTCTAAGTGCTATTACTATTGCTAGCATCTCGGCTAGGCAGGCAGGTGGCAGGATAAGACACAAAAAAGGAAGGAAAACATTGCAAAACAGCTGCCTGCTTTCTTTGACTTCTGCTCAAAGTCACCCTCTGATTATCAGTTATGTGCTCAGAGGATAGGAGTCCAGAGTTGCTGCACCTGGACTGGACAGGACTTACAGAAGAGGAGATTCAGAATGAAGCAGGGGTTCTCCTAACTTGGCAGCATTAAGACTGTGGACTTCCAGTCCCAGAATTCCCCAGCCAGTTCAAGCCCACAAGTCTTAAAAGTTGCCAAGTTTGGGCATCCCTGCTTTTGAGAATCCAGGGACTGTTTGTAGAGAGTATGGAAGATGACTTTGACAGAAATCCATCAAGAAAGATCTTGCGTATCTCCATCAAGGTCATATTTTTTATTCTTTACACCAGGGGTAGGCAACCTTGGCTCTTTTATGACTCGTGGACTTCAACTCCCAGAATTCCTGAGCCAGCCATGCTGAGGGGAAAGGGAGAGGTTTCCAGGCTGAGCCATGCTGGCTCAGGAATTCTGGGAGTTGAAATCCACGAGTCATGAGGGGGCCATAGTTCCCCCATGCTGGCTCAGGAATTCTGGGAGTTGAAGTCCACGAGTCATGAGGGGGCCATAGTTCCCCCATGCTGGCTCAGGAATTCTGGGATTTGAAGTCCACGAGTCATGAGGGGGGCATAGTTCCCCCATGCTGGCTCAGGAATTCTGGGAGTTGAAGTCCACGAGTCATGAGGGGGCCATAGTTCCCCCATGCTGGCTCAGGAATTCTGGGAGTTGAAGTCCACGAGTCATGAGGGGCCATAGTTCCCCCATGCTGGCTCAGGAATTCATCCACGAGCTGGCTCAGGAATTCTGGGATTGGCTCAGGAATTCTGGGAGTTGAAGTCCACGAGTCATGAGGGGGCCATAGTTCCCCCATGCTGGCTCAGGAATTCTGGGAGTTGAAGTCCACGAGTCATAAAAGAGCCAAGGTTGACTACGCCTGCTTTACACCATTCTTAACAAAAAAAGGCCACCTGAGGGCTTCACGTGTGATACCACAGAGGGGTTTTTTTGAGAGGGGGGTTTCAGCTCTAACGTCATACCCATTTAAGGAAGGGATGGGTCTCCGAGGAGACCCTCTCTGATTCTCACATTGCTGGTGTTGCTTCCTGTACTCTGGGGGATGGAGAACAGCTCTGTGAAGTTGGGCACTGAGTCGCTGATGAAAGTCACGTTGCCGTAGACGTGATGCGGAAATTTGGCCCCTGTTGCAGCTTCCTCAACGATCCCGATCTGTGACGTCCGCACGTGGTATGGGAAGTTCTTATTAGCCGCTGAGGGCCTGGTCATAATCTGCAGAAAGAAGGGAGATGGAGAACAGCTGGATGAAGCTGAGCCATGCTGGCTCAGGAATTCTGGGAGTTGAAGTCCACGAGTCCTAAAAGAGCCAAGGTGGCCTCCCCCTGGTCTAGTCCAATGTGCTGAGTATCTCAGCCATCGCATGTGAGCATTTAAGGCTTGCAATAGGAATTAGAAATGGTAGGTAATGTGAAAATTCTTACCAGGAAAACGGCATGAGCGTAGAGATGAATCCCCAGCTGGATACCGTTGACTATTTTCTCTCGGGCCCACTTTGGTATACCAAAGTTAGCGATAAGTGCAGTAACTGGGACAGCAAAGAACCTACAAAAGAACAAGACACTCTAGGGATACAGACCCAGCTGCTCAAAGGACTTGATTTCATTGAAAATAGTTTTTGACTTACAACCATCCCTGTAGTGGCTGTTCAAAGTTACACCAGCACTGAAAAAAGTGACTGATGACCAGTTTTCACACTTCCATGCTGGCTGGGGAATTCTGGGAGTTGAAGTCCACTCATCTTACAGTTGCCAAGGCTAAGAAACACTACATTAAACTAATAACTAAGTCTTCATGGCGGGAGCTCTAGCGGCCAACATAACAATGGTGGAACTAGGACATAGCAATAGCAATAGCCCTTGGACTTATGTACCACTTCACAGTGCTTTACAGCCCTCTCTAAGCAGTTTACAGAGTCCATCTATAGCCCTCAGCAACCTGGGTCCTCATTTGACCAACTTCAGAAGGATGGAAAGCTGAGTCAACCTTGAGTCGATCAGAATCGAACTGCTGACAACGGGCAGAATTAGCCTGCAATACCGCATTCTAACCACTGCGCCACCCTGGCTCTTCATACTCAGTTATTTCGCCTTTTATTTATTTGTTAATGTTTTTCATGTGTTTTTATATTATTGTGAGCCGCCTGGAGTCACTCGAGAAAATGAGACGGGCAGCATATAAACTTAATGGATAAATAGTCTTTGAGAGGACCCCCCCCCAAAATAATTTTCCTGCCCTATTAATCTTCTAAACTTACTGACCAGAGGGTATAAGCAGCAAAGAATGGCACGTAGAACGGCTGTTTCTCCGGGAACTGCTTGAGTGTGATGAGGATGGCATAGCAGAACCAGATGTAAGCCACAAATTGCAAGGCAATCAAGCCATATCCAGCTGGTGATTCATAGGTGTAGAGGACTTGTGCCTGATCAAAGAACTGAGCACCGAAAGGAAGGAAGCGGGTAAAAAACTTGGGGAAGTCATGATTTTTTTAAGAAGCTACACAATTTCCCCACAGCAAGATGATTTCCCCCACTAGTCAGTTATGGAGATTTCTAGACTCATCGGATCATAGTTGTCCAACAAAATAGAGTTTGTGCAACAAAGGTGTGCAGCACACAAAGCGCAACAAAGATAGGCCTTACCCTAATTTATTGAAGATTTGAGAGGAGTTTAGTGCTCTACTTAGAGCTTGGTTGTTTTCTTGCAGACGTTTCATGACCCCTTCAGGTAACACCATCAGTGTTAGGAGGGAGTGGGGTTCTGTTCTGTGTTTATGGATCTTCTAGCACTGATGATGTCACCTAGCTGGGTCATGAAACGTCTGCAAGGAAAGTTCGGGAGAGCACCAAGGATCTCTCATTTTAACCCCGAGCTATAAATATTCCCCTTTGTCAGTTATTGATGATTTGCAAGACAAATTAGACAGGAAATTTACATTAAATCAAATCCGTGACTCATTTTAGCTGAGAGTTGCACAAGCTTCCTTGCAATCAGGAGTGCCAGCACATTGCCGGGGGGGGGGGGGAACCAACTCTTTTTGCAGTTGTGAACCATGACGAGGAAGGACTGTGTGATCTAGGAAATAACCAGAACGCAGAAAGCGCAAACTGAATTTTTGTGGCCCTCAAAGGATACGTAGCTGAAAAAGGAAGGGAACTCACCTCAGCCTCGTAGATAAACAGCACAACATGGGTGATAGTGTAGAGCGTCATGTACACCGAGAGCTTGATGGAGCCCGTGTGGCTGATCCGACCCCTGTCATACAAGGAGCCGTAAGCCAAAATTACAAAAAAAGGAAACACTGCCTCACACACTACAGCTCTTAGCCACCTTTTCTCCTCCTTCTAGCTTGCCAATGACACAGCAGCCCCAATTCCAAGCTGTTCTCCATAATACTCTTAAGTCTCATAACTTCAACTGCGGATCCTTTGTACATCACTCAGCTTCTCAATCTCTGTTACTTTTCCACCACCAGAATATTCTTCATGTATGCTCTTCTTCCTAATTCAACAACCTTTCTTCTGCCCATTTGACTCCTCCTTGGAGTAATGGAGGCCACAGAAGGTGGTAAGAAGTAATATATTATTATTATTATTGTTGTTGTTGTTAATAATAATGTTGGAAGGGAGCTTGGAGGTCATCTAATCCAACCCCCTGCTCAGGCAGGAAACCCTATACCATTTCGGACAAATGGCTGTCCAGTCTCTTCTTAAAAACTTCCAGTGTTGGAGCATTCACCGCTTCTGGAGGCAGGTTGTTCCACTGGTTAATTGTTCTAACTGTCAGGAAGTTTCTCCTTAGTTCTAGGTTGCTTCTCTCCTTGATTAGTTTCTACCCATTGCTTCTTGTCCTGCCTTCAGGTGCTTTGGAGAATCGCTTGACTCCCTCTTCTTTGTGGCAGCCCCTGAGATACTGGAACACTGCTATCATGTCCCCCATTGTCCTTCTCTTCGTTAAACTAGACATACCCAATTCCAGCAACCGTTCTTCATATGTTTTAGCCTCCAGTCCCTAATCATCTTTGTTGCTCTTCTCTGCACTCTTTCTAGAGCAGTGGTTCTCAACCTGTGGGTCGGGACCCCATTTGGGGTCGAACGACCATTTCACGGGGGTCGCCAAACAACACAGTCCGCCATTTTTTCCCCCTTTTCCTTAGCTGTGCTACTCCCTTTTATTCTATTGGCTTTTGAAAGCCAATAGAATAGACCCTCTTGAATAGAGTCTAATTCTATTGGCTTTCAAAAGCCAATAGGAATTGTCCAGGCTGTCTCTGCCCTGCTGAGCCTGCCAAAAGTCCCATTCTGCAAACGGTGCTGCACCAGTTGAGTAGTCCTCGACTTACGACCGGTTGAGTAGTCCTCGACTTACGACCGGTTGGGGGTCGCGGCATTAAAAAGGTTGAGAACCACTGCTTTAGCCCCTCCCCTCCACATAGTCTTTTGCATAATCTGCATAAGAAAAGCCCATTCCTCTCCAATCCAGCCCATCCCTCTGGCTGTTTTATCCCACAATTATCATTATCTCTGTTATTCCACACACCCAAGGGCTGTGCTGGTACCTGGTAACTGTGAATCCTTTTCCCAAGAGGATGAGCATCAAGAGGAATATCAAGAAACTGACGGAAAAAAGGAGCTTGGCTGGAATTAAGGAAAGACAAGAGGAGATAGTGGGTGAATCTAAGCCAGTTAGAGATTTAAAATAATCCATGGTCCTAGGGATGGGTTGAGACACAACACTGCCCTATAAAACTTAATATTGCAGATAGCACATTATCCAACTTTCTCCCCACATACGGTGGATGACAACGTCCATCATCCTCCACCTAATCGGAAATCGTAGGTGGGGCCCGCAAAGTCTTCTGTGGTCTTCAAGTTGATGGATGTTGTACATTCCTGACACAGGTGATTTAGTTCACTTAAACTTCACCAAAACGAAGACCCCCCCCCCAAGCCCCGGCTCTACATGAGGTATTAACTCAGCCATTATGGCTTGTTAATCATAGTTGATGGTTTCATGTTAGGTGTGAAACCAATTTAATGTGGTGGTTCCATAAATCATGGTTTACTAGGAATCCAACTGGTAAATGGGAAGGCCCATCCCTGATAACTTACCCAGGATCTTAAGACTATTGTTTCCAATACCATCACTTGCATACTGGCCCCAGTATATGCAGAAGAACATCAGGCTGAGCACTGGAGAAGAAAAAGTAAACAGGTAACAAGCATGTAGAAGGATTTGCAGAAGAGCAGGCAGAACTGGGGGTGGTGGTGGAGTAAAACGAGTCACAAGCTGAGAATTAATACGTTCCCACAAAAGTCTACATCAAATCCCTCTTGAATTCCATTGATCTTTTATTTAGCGCCAACTTAGTGTTGAACTTTAGTTGACTAGATTCTTGTATATAGGCTTGAGCCATAAATATGCTGAGCTGCAACTTGACAAATGGGCCTGGTTCTTTGCCCCGACAGAGTTTAATCACTGTACTTTCCTTAGTGTTGGTTTCTCTCTTCGTTCTATTATTGGCTCTTAAATGATACCCCTCATATTTTCTAATTTCTTTCTTAATTGCCATCTGTCTCCACCTGCACTCTCCCGAACAATTCTGGGAATCACAATGCTGTCGTTATTTATATAGCTACCAATGTGAATATTTAGCTACAATCTGTTTTTTTGCCAACTCTTATAGAAAATGCAGCTTTTTTAAAAAAGTGAAAGATGTGGACGCAAAATCACAGGCATACAGGTCAGCTCAGAGGAAAATGCTTTGATCTTTTAAATCAAACCTATACTATAGGTGGAAATAATTTTAATAGGAATTCCCTTTCTCATAAGCACCCACTTGGCTTTCATGGCTAAGGTGGGACTAGAACTCACAGTCTCTTGGTGATTGGCCCAAAGTAATCTAGCCATCATTCATGGCTAAGGAGGGACTAGAACTCACGGTCTCCTGGCGATTGGTCCAAAGTAACCTAGCCGCCTTTCATGGCTAAGGCAGGACTAGAACTCACAGTCTCCTGGTGATTGGCCCAAAGTCATCCAGCCAGCTTTTGTGCCTAAGCCAGGACTAGAACTCACGATCTTCTACTTTCTAGCCAGGTGCCTTAATCACTAGACCAGCGGTTCTCAACCTGTGGGTCGGGACCCCATTTGGGGTCGAACGACCATTTCACGGGGGTCGCCAAACAACGCAGTCCGCCATTCCCCCCCCCCCTTTTTCCTTAGCTGTGCTACTCCCTTTTATTCTATTGGCTTTTGAAAGCCAATAGAATAGACTCTCTTGAATAGAGTCTAATTCTATTGGCTTTCAAAAGCCAATAGGAATTGTCCAGACTGTCTCTGCCCTGCTGAGCCCACCAAAAGTCTCATTGGTGCTGCACCAGTTGAGTAGTCCTCGACTTACGACCAGTTGAGTAGTCCTCGACTTACGACCGGTTGGGGGTCGCGGCATTAAAAAGATTGAGAACCACTGCCCTAGACCAAACTGCCTCCCCAGTTCTTTTCATACCTACCCTCTACTCCAGCAGCTGTCATGAACATCTTGTATGTCGTGTGCAGAAGTTGCCGACCTTTCAACAAATCTGGAAAAAAAAAAGACCGGGGGGGGGGGGGAAAGCCTAATTACAATTCAAGGTGTCTTTGTCTGCCACACGTTCCACAATCAGATGACTCATCACACCACCCCTGGGTTCACGTAATCGCAATTCAGGTGTTTGGCAACTGGCTGCGACTTGATTGCAGTGTCCTGAAGTGACGCGATTGTGATTTTTACCTCTTTTTTTTTTTTTTTTTTTGCTGGAAATGCCCATTTGGAAGAATGAGCTACTTAATGGCCCCAGAGTCGCTTAGCAACCCTTGTAAAAAATGGTTTTAAAATTGGATGCGAGTTGGACTTAACAATTGTAACAGATTACGATGAAAATCCCGGTCCTATTTGTGTGGTCGTAAGCCCAGGGCGACCCATGTTTGCTCAAATCTGATGGTCATCAAAAGAGTCACATTCGGTCAGAAACAGGAAGTCGTGAACCGAGTTCATAAGCACAAACATTCTTTAGTACTTACAGCCAAAGTAGCAAGAAATGATGAGGATCAGGATGAATATGAGCAAGAAAGTGATGTCAGTTTCCAGGATACCTAGAAGGGGGAACAGGAAAAAGAAAAAAGGACACACTAAAACAGTGGTTCTCAACCTTTTTAATGCTGCGACCCCCAACCGGTCGTAAGTCGAGGACTACTCAACTGGTGCAGCACCGTTTGCAGAATGGGACTTTTGGCGGGCTCAGCAGGGCAGAGACAGCCTGAACAATTCCTATTGGCTTTTGAAAGCCAATCGAATTAGACTCTATTCAAGAGAGTCTATTCTATTGGCTTTCAAAAGCCAATAGAATAAAAGGGAGTAGCACAGCTAAGGAAAAGGGGGAAAAAATGGCGGACTGTGTTGTTTGGCGACCCCCGTGAAACCATCATTCGACCCCAAATGGGGTCCCAACATACAGGTTGAGAACCACTGCACTAAAAGGACATCTGTCATTAGAGAGGTAATTTTTTTTTCAATAATAGTAATTATTTCCCCTTATTTGCAAGGGCATGGATGCTCAGGAAAATTTCTTGCCCTGTGCTAAAAATCATTTATGTTTTGTCTCTCTGGGGAGCTTGCAATATCTTCTCTCGGGGTCTAGCAACTATTTTGTAGAAGCCATTTTCGCACTTTGAAGGTCAGAGGTGCGCAAATCTGGCTGAGGACTATAGACCAGCAGGGAACCTTACCAAATTCATCGGCAGAAAAGTGACGTGTCCAGAACGATTTGCCATTCGTCAAAATCATCTCGTATTCCAGTTCCAAGCCATCACCCTGTCAGAGAGAGGAAGATGAACATCAGCACGGGCCTTAATGGGAAGGGACCCAGGTCGAGGGGATGAGGGGGTTCAGACAGACTCACCCCACATTTGCTGAGGACCACATACCACCAGCGCTCCCGGACGGAACGGAAACTCCTGCCGCTTGTGCAACTCAGATACCGGATTGAATTTTCGGTCACCAGCTGGATGAGAAAACGCACAAAGTATAGCCAAATATAGCAACAACTAGCTGTTCTGTTTGCATTGTCGTTATCCAGGGGTTCCCACTCACCAACTGTAATATTAAGTCCTCTGGCTTTCAGATCAGTTCAGGTGAATATGAGCATGGCCCAAACTTCTCCTTAGAATGTACAGGTAATTCTCGACTTGTTTAATGACCATTTGAAGTTATAATGGCACTGGAAAAAGTGACTTATACTTTTTTTTTTAAGTGTAGACTATAAATAAACTCTGGTTGCCTTAGATTCAGCGAGTGGCCTGTCCAGAAGCGAATTTCCATCCCTTAGCAAAACTCACATGGAGAGACAGGTGGCAGAAACAAGAACTGAGTTTTTACACTTCCTGTCCCATCGTATCCTTAAATCTGAGTGCCTGTCTGGATTGCTATGATGAACGTTTTAGCCTCGCAAAACGCCCTTTGAAAAATACATTAATTTAAAGAAGACACCTCTTCTGTTAGATTGGAAGGTTACAGAGCAGTATTTCATAAATTGCAAAATCTAGATTGGTGGGTTTCTCAGCCTCAGCATATTTAAAATGGGTGGACTTCAAATCCCAGAATTCCCAAGCCAGCATGTTGCTAGAATTGGGTATGTCTAGTTTAATGAAGAGAAGGACAAGGGGGGACATGATAGCAGTGTTCCAATATCTCAGGGGCTGCCACAAAGAAGAGGCAGTCAAGCTATTCTCCCAAGCGCCTGAAGGCAGGACAAGAAGCAACGGATGGAAACTAATCAAGGAGAGAAGCAACCTAGAACTAAGGAGAAACTTCCTGACAGTGAGAACAATTAACCAGTGGAACCACCTGCCTCCAGAAGCAGTAAATGCTCCAACACTGGAAGTTTTTAAGAAGAGACTGGACAGCCATTTGTCCGAAATGGTGTAGAGTTTCCTGCCTGAGCAGGGGGTTGGACTAGATGACCTCCAAGGTCCCTTCCAACTTTATTACTATTATTATTATTAATATGGGTGGACTTCAAATCCCAGAATTCCCCAGCCAGCATGTTTAAGATGGGTGGACTTCTATTTTAAAACAGGTGGGAGTTGAGGTCCACTCATCTTAAAAACATGCTGGGGAATTCTGGGAGTTGAAGTCCACACCTCTTAAAAAGTTTCTGAAACTGAGAAACGTTGATCTAGAGGACTTGAGTTCCTTTGCAGTTACTGAAATCTCTTACCTTGCATCCAGACCAGGCATATTGGGTTGTCAGGTTGATAACTTGATTGTTTTCTGGGCGGATGACCGATTCTTTCATCAAACAATCCTAAGGAGAAGGGAGAGAAGACAAAAGAGAATCCTAGAACACTTTCCCCTAAGGCTCAGTCCTTCTAATGAATTTGGAATCAGAAACCACAAAGCTGAGTATAAGTTCTCATTTGGCTGCAGCTCCATTTGTGTAGCAAATCACGTGATTGTCTCACAAGAGCCTTTTGTTTCTTAATTTGCTTATTTCTTGTAGCACAGTGTATCAGAAATTCATAATTTTCTACGCAGTCTTCCTGTATTGTGAACCATCAGAGCTACAGAGCAACCACGCATCAGATTTTAATTCATTTTAGGGCCCCAAAATACTCTAAAACCAACCTAGGAGACCGATAGTTCTCCAGATATTCTTAAGGCAGTGGTTCTCAACCTGTGGGTCGGGACCCCATTTGGGGTCGAACGACCATTTCATGGGGTCGCCAAACAACGCAGTCCGCCATTTTTTCCCCCTTTTCCTTAGCTGGGCTACTCCCTTTTATTCTATTGGCTTTCGAAAGCCAATAGAATAGACTCTCTTGAACAGAGTCTAATTCTATTGGCTTTCAAAAGCTAATAGGAATTGTCCAGGCTGTCTCTGCCCTGCTGAGCCCGCCAAAAGTCCCATTCTGCAAACGGTGCTGCACCAGTTGAGTAGTCCTCGACTTACGACCGGTTGAGTAGTCCTCGACTTACGACCGGTTGGAGGTCGCAGCATTAAAAAGGTTGAGAACCACTGTCCTAAGGTGTCTATCCACTCAATAAGGCCAAAGAGGAGGGATGCTAAACACTGAATTTCAGGGGCATCTGGAAGACTTTAGAATCCTCTTCCTCTTTCCTCTGTAACCCTGAGGAAAAGGAGGAAGAAGACAGGATAATAAGGTTGGAAGGAACTTTGGAGGTCTTCTAGTCCAACCCCCTGTCCATGGCAGGAGATCCTATACCAGTGATGGTGAACCTTTTAGAGACCGAGTGCCCAAACTGCAACCCAAAACCCACTTCTTTATCGCCGGGTGCCAGATGGGCGTGGCCGACTGGGTGGTGGCCATGGCAGATTGGGTGGGAGTGGCCAAGGTGGGCGTGATCACCTCGATGTTGCTCATGGGGAGGGACGCCTGTGGGGGCCGGGCAGGGTTGGGGGAGATCCAGGGGGTCTCTGGCAGGTGGGGTGGTGGGCAGGAGGCTCGTCCTGCAGGGTGAGGCGAGACAAGGTGAGGCAGGGCAGGGGTGCCATTGTCACAGGGCAAGGTGAGTCAGGGGCCAGGGCGGCTGCTGCCTGACACCATTGGCCCCTACACACAGAGGCCACTGAGCACATGGGTGCTGGGATGCATCCAGCCATGTGGGACCTTGGCGAGTTAGCGGGCGGCTGGTTGAAGAGGGACGGTTGCCACCTCCGGGGCATGGTGTGCGTGCCCACAGAGAGGGCTCTGAGTGCCACCTCTGGCACGCATGCCACAGGTTCGCCACCACTGTCCTATACCACTGATGGCGAACCTTTTAGAGACCGAGTGCCCAAACTGCAATCCAAAACCTACTTATGTATCGTCGGGTGCCGGGTGGGTGTGGCCCATTGGGTGGGCGTGGCCCTTTGGGTCGGCATGGCTTCAGTGGTAACGGCAGACTCGCGGGACTAAAAAGTTCAATCAATCAATTCCAACTTTGCGAGATCTTTTTTTTTCCCGTGAGAAGTTGAAATTGATTGATTGAACCTTTTTTTTTTTTTTTGCACACAGCGGCGGAGGCCTAAAGCGAAAAGGTTTTATAAAACCCAGCTGAAGGCCTAGGACTGGGGCGACGGTGCGCGTGCCCCCAGAGAGGGCTCTGCGTGCCACCTGTGGCACGCGTGCCATAGGTTCGCCACCACGGTCCTATACCATTCTGGATTTTCTTGGGCTTGATGGGATGAATACATGTGAACATAGAAAGAATAACAGAATAATAGAACAGAATAACAGAATGGGAAGGGATCAAGATTGCAAGAGCAGCAATGAACAGTTAGATAAAAGTAACCTGAATCCAGACCAGAACAGTATCCTGAGACAGACTAACTTTCGTTCTTAGAAATATTTTTTTTTTAAAAAAAAAAAGTGGGGAAGCACATCCAGACTTGCAACATTCTGTTGCTATATCTGTTGAACAGAAGTCGTGTGAGCTTGCATAACTTTTGGTTTTCTAATCTGGATGTCCTTTGAGGCCTGGCTGTTCCTCTTTTCTGCCCTAGAATAGGATCCTGTCCGGGTCAATTATGAGACTCAGCTACTTGAAGCTATTCAGACCACTGGCCCCAAAAAGTAATGTGTAAGCAAAGAGAAAAAGAGAAAAGAGAAAAAAAGAAAAAAGAGAAAAAGATAGAGAAAAAGAGAAAGAGAAAAAAAGAAAAAAGGAAAAAAGAGAAAAAAAGAAAGAGAAAGAGAAAGAGAAAAAAGAAAGAAAAAGAGAAAAGAGAGAAAAAGAAAAGAGAGAAAGAGAAAGAAAAAAAGGAAAAAAGAGAAAGAGAAAAAGAGAAAGAGAAAAAAGAAAAAAGGAAAAAAGAAAAAAGAGAAAGAGAAAAAAGAAAGAAAATGAGAAAAGAGAGAAAAAGAAAAGAGAAAAAAGAAAAAAAGAGAAAAAAAGAATTCAATGCAATAATAGGATCCTATTGACAGCTGTCTCAGATATTTCTCTTCAACGGAAAGGAAAATATACAGGCAGTTAATAACTACAAGTAGTCCTTGACTTACAGCTGTTCATTTAGTGACCATTCAAAGTTACAACAGCACTAAAAAAAGTGACTTATGACCGTGGCAGCCTCCCCATGATCAGGTGATCAAAATTCAGACGCTTGGCAACTGACTCGTACTTACGACGGCTGCTGTGTCCCAGGAGCCGTGTGATCTGTCTGATGAGCAAAGTCAATGGGGAAGCCAGATTCACTTAACAACGAACTTCTTACTAACTTAATAACTGCAGATTCACTTTAATGAGAAAAGTTGTAAAATGGGACAAAACAAATGTCTCAGTAAGCAACGGAAATCTGGAGCTCCGTTGTTGTTGTAAGTTGAGGACTACCTGTATATTCTACCAAAGGTTTTCAGAAGAGCAGTGCTCCAGTTATAGAGTAACTCCCCTGCAAAGGAGCCGTTGGATTGAAGATCCGTGTGAGAAATTAATTGGCACGGCAGAACTAATTGACCCAAAGAAATAACGTTAAAAGGAGAAGAAGGAAGAGGAGAAGCAGAATCCATCTGCGGTGCAACAATCAATACAAACTGACCTTATTTCCCTTTTTGTAAACAGCCGGCCACTGCGAAGGGTCATCAAAATAAAGAAGGATGTTCTCACAACACTTATTCTTCAAAGAGAAGAAGAAAAGAGAGGGTTACGCTGACGGCAGCAAAGTTGCGTAGTTGCAAACTTATCCAGTGCAAGGGGAAAATTTGCAGGCTGTGACTGGTAAAAGGTGCCTCTAAAATGCGGACTGCAATGTTGAAAGATACCTCAGGGTAGCGAAACTGGAAATCCAGTCGTCCATAGTCAGAAAAGAAGCAGAATCTAGTCAAAAAGACCCAATCCTGGAAAAAAAGGAGAGAGAAAAAAAACCATCCAACATGTCAGCATTGATGTAGCTCGGTGCTTTTATTAGTGTTTTTCAATCTCAGCAGTTTTAAGATTTGGACTTCAACTCCCAGAAGTCCCTAGCCAGCAGAATTCTGGGACTGAAGTTTGCATATCTTTAAATTGCTGAGATTGAGAAACACTGGTCTATACCAGGGATAGGCAACCTTGGCTCTTTTATGACTTGTGGATTTCGACTCCCAGAATTCCTGAGCCAGCCATGCTGAGGGAAAAGGGAGAGGTTTCCAAACTGAGCCACGCTGGCTCAGGAATTCTGTTTACGAATCATGAGGGGGCCATAGTTCCCCCATGTTGTCTCAAGAATTCTGGGAGTTGAAGTCCCCAAGTCATGAAAGGACCATAGTTCCCCCCTGCTGGCTCAGGAATTCTGGGAGTTGAAGTCCACCAGTCATGAGGGGGCCATAGTTCCCTCATGCTGGCTCAGGAATTCTGGGAGTTGAAGTCCACCAGTCATGAGGGGGCCATAGTTCCCCCATGCTGGCTCAGGAATTCTGGGAGTTGAAGTCCACAAATCATAAAAGAGCCAAGGTTGCCTACCCCTGGTCTATACAGATGATAAGGAATACTACAGGAGAAACCAAAAAGAAAGCTAAGAACATTTTGTGTTCATACAACCCCAGCTGTTGGGTGACATATAGACAGGCCTTTCTAGTCCATTCCAGCATTGGAAACATTGGTTAAGAGGCACCAAGCTAGAAGCCTGGAGACGGTGAGTTCTAGACCCGCCTTAGACATGAAAACCAGCTGGGTGATTTTGGACCAATCACTAGGAGAAGGAGAGTTCTAGTCCCACCTTAGACATGAATGACAGCTGGGTGACCTTGGGCCAGTCCTTCTGTCAGTTCAACCCAACCTCACAGGGTTGTTGTTGTGAAGAAAATAGGAGGAAGGAGTACTGTATTAAGCATCTTTGCCACCTTGAGTTATTTATATAAAAAAAGGTTGGATAAAATAATAAAATAAAAAATAAATAAAATAAAATAATAAAATAAAATAATAAAATAAAAAATAATAAATAAAATAAATAATAAAATAATAAAATAATAAAATAAAATACAATAATAATAAATCAAAGTCAAAACAAACTTTTGGCATGAACTCTCCCAAGAAAATTAGAATCAGTTGCTGGGTTCACACAACTTACTTAAGCATTATTTGGTTTGGCTAGTTTGATCTTAGCCTATGGTAGCGAGTTCCAAAACATGGTAATGTCATTGATTTAATTAATTGTTTCAGGGAACAACTCTTTAGTTGAATAGGTAATCCCTGGGCATTCATGTTACATGACATCCCCCAGATGACACAAATAACTTGTGCAACATGGCACCAGGCCACAAATAGTAGAAATTAGTCACTTTCCTCATTTCGCACAATGTCAAATGACACAGGCGGGCTTTGCATCATTTCAGCAAGGCCATCCTGACACCCATTTCATCTTGATGTCATGGTGACCACAGATAAATCATCCTGAGAGAATTCCCATCTCTTAAGAGGAAGATCTATTTAGGAAGCATCTTCAGATAAGGCAATCTGTTATCTTCTTCTAGGGCTAGACTATGGCTACTTATTAGAATTCAGATGCAGAAACCTGGAAACACAGCAACGTAAGTCCTTGAACATGCCAATCCACGCCCAGTGGAAAAACCACTATATTCTGGAAATTATTGGCCTAATGCGCAAATATCAGCAGCCTGATCTTGAATCCGGCTAGTTACTCTAAGGCTCATTAATTTAATAGAGTGCAATGGATCAACTAAAGAAATCTAGCCCATATTATCCAGTTTACAGCCCCAAGGGCCTCTTGTAAGATTTATTTTCCTGGAGGTGAATCTCTATGTGCTTAAAACTGACTCTGAAATAAAGTGGACGATGGGAACGAACTTTCTTGTAGCAGGGTGAAGCATCAGAGAATCATAGGACTGGAAGGGATCTGGCAGGTCTTCAAGAGTCCCCCAAGCCCTTTAGTTGTAGGTGTCAGAAAAGATGGAATTAACCATGCATGCCAATAGGGAATCCCCAATGTACTCCCACTAATGTCCATTTTTCTTAATTAAGTAGCATAAAACCAATCATAATGCAGATCAATCAAACACAGAACCCCCTTTGTAGAAATGTACATCAATTTTCCCCATTTTCTTTCAGTCTGAAAGTTGCTATCTCACAACCGTCCTAATGATGAAGCCTACAGCACATCTAAACTACGCTTATTCTACAGATCTGGCAACTCCACTTTGCAGCAGTCTCCAGCCAAATTTTGGGAGGATTATTCCTGTCCAATGCAATGCACGTTTTCCACCCTTTTCTGCCATTTACTCTCTACTCACATTCATCAATAGAAAGAGAAGGAAACAATAGTAAATAAACTCAAATCCATCCTTCAGCTGCTGTTCCTTTTTCAGTGCTGAGCCAATTAACTCCATGAAAAGCCAAGCATTTATTCTAGATTCATTCGTGCTGACTGAAAAGGATCACCCATATTCTAGTTATTTGGCATGCAGAATTTTTAAATTGTGCACATTCGGACAGCACGCACTGGATAACCCTATTCAAGAACATGCAGTAGTCAATAGCAAGACAGTGGTGAGAAGAGTAAGGTTCTACATTTAGACAAGAAAAACCAAAAGCACAGATGCAGGATAGGTGGTATCTGGCTCCACAGTAGTACGTAACTTTGAGAAGGATCTCCAACAATTACTTAAATATGAGCCAGCCGGGTGCTACAGCTGCCAAAAAAAGCCAACACAGTTCTAGGCTACAATAACAGAGGGATAGAACCAAGATCACATGAAGTGTTAATACCACTCTGTAACGCCTTGGTAAGGCCACACTTGGAATGCTGCATCCAGTTTTGATCGTCACAATGTAAAAAAGATGTTGAGACTCTGGAAAGAGTGCAGAGAAGAGCAACAAAGATGATCAGGGGACAGTTGCAGGATCTGGGTATGTCTGGTCTAACAAAGACAAGAACCAGGGGCAACACGATCAGAGTCTTCCAATGGATGGAAACTGATCAAGGAGAGAAGCAACCTGGAATTAAGGAGAAACTTCCTAACAGTGAGAACAATTAATCAGTGGAACGACTTGCCTCCAGAAGTTGTGGGTGCTCCACCACCGGAAGTTTTTAAGAAGAGATTAGACAATCATTTGTCTGAAGTGTTATAGGGTCTCCTGCTTCAGCAGGGGGTTGGACTAGAAGACCTCCAAGGTCCCTTCCAACTGTGCTATTCTGTTGTTCTGTTAAGTCCCTTGATGGGTCAATTCAACAGTCAGAAAGGGCCTATGCTGTGAGACCATCTTGAGCTTGCAAAAGGCCTGGGAATAATTCACTTCTGGGATCTGGGTCAATAAGACTTTGGGCTGAAGAAGAAAAGATACAAAGACTGCCAACAGACTTAATGGCTAGGGCTCTGCAAACAGTTGCCTAACCACATATATGTATTTACATATTTATCAAAGAGAGAAGTTTTTTTTTTTTAAAGAAACTGGCTCCTTTTCACCTCATTGTTTCTTTTCCCTCCAACTCTCAACCCCATCTTCCTGCTGTGGGGGGGAAAAATCCCACTTGTTCCCATGGCAACAACCCATGCTCAAGGTTTCCACGGAAACCGTACCAAAGGCTGAAGTAGGCAGAGGAAAAAAAAAAAAAAGCAAAATCTGGGGCAAATGCGTAGGGAAGAATTTGGGGGGGTGGGGGGGGGTTTACCAGCTCATGCTTTCTACCTGGAGATCAGGCAGCATGCTAAAGAGATCTGCCGAGATTCTGGTTTTTTTCTCTCCCTAAAACCCCAAATTAAAAGCCGCAGGAACTGCATTCAAAAAGATATTAGTGAGGCTTGCTGGATTGCAAAGGATCTGCAGCCAGGCTCCTAGGAGAGCAATAATAGATTTTGGGCAGGAAACAGCAGCTTTTTCTCCGATTCCAGTTCCAAACTTGCAAAGAGGTGGGCAGTTGTGTGTTTTTCCTGCCCTATTAATAGCTGTTTTGTGGGTTGCCATTACCATTGGCCAATTAAAGGGAGGGTGGGACGTAGAACATAGAACAACAGAATTGGAAGGGGCCTTGGAGGTTATCTAGTCCAACCCCCTGCTCAAGTAAGAGAGCTTAGGCCATTTCAGAGAAATGGTTGTCCAATCTCTTCTTAAAAGTCTCCAGAGCCAAGTTGTTCCATTGATTAATTGTTCTAATTGTCGGGAAAGTTCTCCTAGGTTGTTTTCTCCTGCATTATGTAAAAAATCCGTATAATAATAATAATAATAATAATAATAATAATAATAATAATAATAATGTTGGAAGGAACCTTGGAGGTCATCTAGTCCAACCCCCTGCTCAGGCAGGAACCCTATACCATTTCGGACAAATGGCTGTCCAGTCTCTTCTTAAAAACTTCCAGTGTTGAAGCATTCACCACTTCTTGGAGGCAGGTTGTTCCACTGATTAATTCTTCTAACTGTCAGGAAGTTTCTCCTTAGTTCTAGATTGCTTGTCTCCTTGGTTAGTTTCCATCCGTTGCTTCTTGTCCTGCCTTCAGGCGCTTTGGAAAATAGGTTGACTCCCTCTTCTTTGGGGCAGCCCCTTAGATATTGGAAGACTAGTCACCCCTAGTCCTTCTTTTCATTAAACTAGACATACCCAATCCAGTCAATTCAGAATAGAGCTGGAAGGGACATTGGAAGTCATCTAGTCCAACCCCCTGCTCAAGCAGGAGACCCTATTATACCATTTCAAATAGTTGTCCACTCTCTTCTTAAAAATTTCCAGTGTTGGAGCACTCACAACTGCTGGAGGCAAATGGTTCCACTGGTTAATCGTTCCACCATTAGGAAATTTCTCCTTAGTTCTAGGTTGCTTCTCTCCTTGATTAGTTTCCATTCGTTGTTTCTTGACTTGCCTTCTGGTGCTCTGGAGAATGGATAGCCCCTTAGATATTGGAAAATTGCTTAATCGTGTCACCCCTCATCCTTCTTTTTACTAGACATACCCAATTCCTGCATTTTGTTTTGCATTACTTCCTATTGTATGAATCCCTGCTGTAGCCTGTGATAGAGGCCTCGATCTTCCTTCTGCCCTTTTTACCATTACTATGATGTAGAACAGAATGAAGTGACTCAGATGCCACAGTCTGAGTTGAACTACCCAAAGTATTGATTATCATACACCCACGTGCACGTGTTAAGTGTTTTTACATGTTGCCGTTTGAAGTCTCTACAAGGTCCTGTTCATCTGTCAACCCTCTCAAAACATAGATCAATAGATGCCAGCCCTCCGAGACAAGTTACCTGCATAGTCCAGAAGTCTATTATAAATCAGAATTTATTAACATATATACCGCTCTATAATGCCTTGATAAGGCCACACTTGGAATGCTGCATCCAGTTTTGGTCGCCACGATGTAAAAAAGATGTTGAGACTCTAGAAAGAGTGCAGAGAAGAGCAACAAAGATGATTAGGGGACTGGAGGCTAAAGCATATAAGGAAAGGCTGCTAGAATTGGGTATGTCTAGTTTAATGAAAAGAAAGACTAGAGGTGACTTGATAGCAGTGTTCCAGTATCTCAGGGGCTGCCACAAAGAAGAGGGAGTCAAGCTCTTCTCCAAAGCGCCTGAAGGCAGGACAAGAAGCAATGGATGGAAACTAATCAAAGAGAGAAGCAACCTAGTACTAAGGAGAAATTTTCTGACAGTGAGAACAATTAATCAGTGGAACAGCTTGCCTCCAGAAGTCGTGATGCTCCAACAATAGAGGTTTTTTAAAGAAGAAATTGGACAACCATTTGTCTGGAATGGTATAGAGTTTCCTTCCTGAGCAGGGGGTTGGACTTGATGACCTTCAATGCCCCTTCCAACTCTCTTATTCTGTTAATGTTTCTTGGTAAATAATGAACAGGGGTCAAAATAAGACAGCTAATCCCTATTTCAACCTCACAACTCTGCCTTGGATTCAGTAAGGAAGTCAGCTTTGTGATCTTCCAATGTCCCCTAAGTCACAACTTCAGTCCATTTTGCTATTTCCAGGACCAATAATATCCTAGCAGATAAATAAACCCCCAACTTTACTTAATAACGCTTCTATAATATAAAAAATAACAGAGTCTCTAAGTAATTGAAAGATGAAATAAAGAATTAGCTTCGGTATACAAGATCCACTTCATTCAGTCTTTTTAATAAAATTTGCCAGTTGGAAACCGGCAATGATTAGACAGGAAAAGGAAAAAACCCTATATGGCAAGACAATTAAAATACTGCTATCTATCAGTTTGGTGCAAAGTATCTTTCTCCATGACAGCCACCACATCAGAGGGAGTGAAACTTTCCTAATTTCTCACTGGCAAAGCTGGGAGTCATGCTGGCTAAAGGTTACAGTCCTGGAAGGTGTTACATGGGGGGAAAACTGGTGCAAAGTTTGAGTGTAGCAACTCTTCAAATGGTTGAAGGTCTGTCCTGATGGATGAACATGCTCCATACTTCATATCAGGTCTTAACTGATATGAAATAGAAAGGGGGGGAGGAAGGGTGAAATTCTGTTTATCTATATATTACATAGAGATGAACAACTACACACCTTTCAAAAGAGACAATCAAAAAGCCAAAAAGGAAACAAAAAGACATCTCCTTGCTAGCAATCAACGTCCAGATGAGAGATAAACAGCAATAATAATAATAATAATAATAATAATAATAATAATAATAATAATGTTGGAAGGGACCTTGGAGATTATCTAGTCCAACCCCTGCTCAGGCAGAAAACCCTATACCATGCTGGCTCAGGAATTCTGGGAGTTGAAGTCCATGAGTCATAAAAGAGCCAAGGTTGCCTACCCCTCCTTGCCCTAGACCATTTCAGACAAATGGCTGTCCAGTCTCTTCTTAAAAACTTCCAGTGTTGGAGCATTCACTGCTTCTGGAGGCAGGTTGTTCCACTGGTTAATTAATTAATATTAGGCCAACAATCAAACAATACCTCAGTCAAGGAACCACTAACTCAGACAAACAAGCTAACAATAAACAACAACCCAATCAAAGAACCACTGAGATCACTCCCACCAATATTGATAGGGCAAGTCATTAGTATATTAAAAAAATAGTATATAAAATGAGAGCAAACCCCACTCGCTTCTAGCACTGATGATGTTACCTAGTTGGGTCATGAAACATCTCCAAAAAAAAAACAACCAAGCCCAGAGAGCACCAAGGACCCGGCTATGTATTACTGCTGCAGGCTGCTCTGGCTTTTCATTGCCCACCCTCATCTTGTTTGGATGTATGGAAGTGCGCACTCCTGCTGCCAAATCGGGATTAACATTTCGTACATTTAATGAAGTGAAGTCTGCTCTGTGAAGTCAGCCTCCCTAATGATCAACTTGTCCTTAAAGTATCCCAACACTTCAGTGGTTCTCCTGCTCAGATGGGAGGCATCTGTCTCTAAAAAAAGTTGTTTGCATCCTCATTCTTTGCACCAACCATAGCACCATGGCAGACACTTATGCCAAATGAATTAATTTAGGAGAAAGCAGAGAGTGTACTATATGTACACGCACAGAGAGAGAGAGAGAGAGAGAGAGACACGTGTTTATGTGTACGTGTTTGTGTGTGTGTGTATATAAACAGCACATTATACATACATACACAGTATATATAAACTCTATATATATACACAGAGAGATACATGTGTTTGTGTGTGTGTGTGTGTATATATATATAAACAGCACATTATATATACACAGTATATATAAACTATATATATACATTTATATACATGAATAATATCAGTAAATATATATACACAGAGATATATGTTTGTGTGTGCGTGTTTGTGTGTGTGTATATATAAACAGCACATTATATATACACAGTATATATAAACTATATATATATACATATATATACATGAATAATATCAGTAAATATATATACACAGAGATATACGCTTGTGTGTGCGTGTTTGTGTGTGTGTATATATAAACAGCACATTATATATACACAGTATATATAAACTATATATATACATATATATACATGAATAATATCAGTAAATATATATACACAGAGATATATGTTTGTGTGTGCGTGTTTGTGTGTGTGTATATATAAACAGCACATTATATATACACAGTATATATAAACTATATATATACATATATATACATGAATAATATCAGTAAATATATATACAGAGATATGTTTGTGTGTGCGTGTTTATGTGTGTGTATATATAAACAGCACATTATATATACACAGTATATATAAACTATATATATACATATATATACATGAATAATATCAGTAAATATATATACACAGAGATATATGTTTGTGTGTGCGTGTTTGTGTGTGTGTATATATAAACAGCACATTATATATACACAGTATATATAAACTATATATATACATATATATACATGAATAATATCAGTAAATATATATACACAGAGATATATGTTTGTGTGTGCGTGCTTGTGTGTGTGTATATATAAACAGCAGATTATATATACATACACAGTATATATAAACTATATATATATATATACACACACACAGAAAGATACATGTGTTTGTGTGTGCGTGTTTGTGTGTGTGTATATATAAACAGCACATTATATATACACAGTATATATAAACTATACACACACATATACAGTGCATATACATATACAGTACACATATACACATACACATACACACCCTGTCTGCATACCACAACATATCCTTCATCCTTTACAGCATCTTGTCCAGCACAGGACAGCTTCCCATTGTACCCAATTAATGGCAAAAATGGCTTGCAAGCCTGGAAGGGGAGGTGTCAGGCACACCCCAAAGGCAAGTCTAGACTTCCTTCAGCACTCAGAAGCACTGCCAAAACACCTGCGGTCTGGAATTCAGAATTATTAGGCACCATTTTCCCACACCTAAGATCTTTTCTCTGGTCTAACCCTCCTCCTCCTCCTCCGGAATACTCAGAAAAGAGAGGCTGGGCAGAAAACCAGGGGGGGGGGGAGAGAGAGAGATGAAAAGGGAAGGAAGGACCAACTAAAGTGTGTGTGTGTGTGTGTGTGTGTGTGATCTTTCTGGGCTGGTCCAAGGAAGGATCCCAGAGGAAAGGGGGAGGTGGGGAGGGAGAGCTGCTGGGGAAGGGATCTCCAGGGTGGGGCGGGCAGCCCAGGCATCACCCCCAATCACCCCCATCACCAGCCAGCAGGACCGCCGGCAAAGATGCAAAAGGCTGGGATGGCCGCTTGAGAAGCCGGGCTCAGCCGTGTAGGCCCAGGCGAGGATGGGGCACCTCGGTTCTGCCCCCTCCCCTCTTTTGCCCTCCCCCACCCCCAAAGCTGCGGACTCACCTCCTTGGTGCTAAGGTTGCCTTTCACGTACTTGGCCCAGCATCCTTCAGGCAGCAGCAGCAGCAGCGGGAGGAGGTGGAGGATCTGCAGCCTGGGAGACCCCGGGAGCCGTTGCAGAGGCTGGGACGGCTCCATCCTGAAGTCTCCGTCCAGCTCTCCGCCGGCTGGGCTCCCTTCCCTGCGCGCTCCCGTTTAAAGAGATACGGTCCCGGAGCCCCCCCTTCCCTCCCCTCCCCTTTCTCAGCCCCGAGCCTCAGCGAGGCTCTCGCTTTGCTGGAAACGGAGGCGCTGCGTAGACCTGAAGCAAAAACACCCACCTTCTCATTTCCCCCCCCCCTTTTCTTATTTCCTTTGGTGGGGAGGGGGAGAGAGAGGGGAAGTCCTCCCCCCTTTGTGGTGGGGAGGGGGAGAGAGAGAGGGGAAGACCCCCCCCCTTTGTGGTGGGGAGGGGGAGAGAGAGAGGGGAAGACCTCCCCCCCTGTGTGGTGGGGAGGGGGAAAGAGAGAAGGGGGGTCCTATCCCCTCCATTGGAATTTTTTTTGAGGGGGGGTCAAGAAGACATAGCAGGCGGGCGTCTTCACAAAGGAGTCAGGGTAGGTTGTATAAATCTTTATAGAAGTATATACCGAGAAGGTTAGATAAATAGAAGTATTAATGTAAGAGAAAATTAATCTTATTGTATATAATACAGATAGGGAAATTTGGAGAGAGGAGTTGCTCGGACATTACCCCTGAATTGTATCTGAAGAGGGATGAGAGGGAAGAAAGGAGAGGAGAGAGAAAAGAGTGAAGGAGGGGAGAAGGAAGTAGGAAGGTTGGAGGAGAAGAAGAGAAGGAAGGAAAGAGAAGAGGAAGAAGAGGGAAGAGAAGAAAGGGAGAAAGAAGGTAGAGAAGGAGTGTGGATACAGTGAAAGGGGAAATGGGCGAGCAACACCAAAAGTCACGTGCATGTATTTATTTCATTTTATTAAAAGTATCTTATATATGAATGTAAAAAGAATGTATGTTAACATCTGATAAATATCACGGTATATATATGGGGGAGAGTTTGGAAAAATAAAAAATAAAACAAAACAAAACAAAGGAGTCATGGTGCTGCTGTGTCTGCCAAGTTTACAGATGACCCGAATTTCGCAGTCATAAGCGAGAGGGCTGATCATAGGTCACTTTTTCAGCCACCTATGAAAGGGTTATAAGTCGAGGACCGTCTGTACTCAGGTCATGGTGGCCCCTGTGTCCTTTCCCAGGTTGGGGAAACTAGGGTGGATAATACAGATGTGGGGTTGGAGGTTGAGTTTATTTATTTGAGTTTTTATTTATTAATATTGAGTCAAACGGGGTTTTTTTATAGTCAGTGAAGAATGTATTGCTCCCCCCCCCTTTGTTATTCTTTTGCTTTCTCATTTATCCAATGCATTAGCATTGTTCTTTAGTTTTTTCCAAAATCAGCTTGAGCATTCTGAGATCTCCCTTTCCTCTTAGGAAACTCTGATCTTGTTTTGATGGTTTAGATAAGAATTATTTTTTTTCCAGCCTGTGAAATTAGGGAGAGTTGAATGATAGTTTGAACATTCTGTTCAGTTTCGTTTCTTTGAGCTGTTATTTAGACTGACGTTTTCCAATCTGTTTACTGCTGTTTCCTTGACCAGATTTGCTCTTAGCACAATTTACTACTTCTTCTTCGGTTTCGTGCCTTATTTCTACGGCGATTCCATTAATTCTGACTTGGTAATGACCAAAGCTCAATCCTACAGGAGATCAACCCCGACTGCTCTTTGGAAGGTCAGATCCTGAAGTTGAAACTCAAGTCCTTTGGCCACCTAATGAGAAGGAAGGACTCACTGGAGAAGGGCCTAATGCTGGGAAAGATGGAGGGCAAGAGAAGAAGGGGACGACAAGAACGAGGTGGCTGGATGGAGTCACTGAAGCAGTAGGCATGAGCTTGAAGGGACTCCAGAAGATGGTAGAGGACGGGAAGACCTGGAGGAACGTTGTCCACGGGGTCGCGATGGATCGGACACGACTTCGCAATTGACAACAGCAACAACAAATAACCAGAGCATTGATCTAATTCTTCTGATACAAGTTCTGCTAATATAGAATATCTTCTAATCTTTTATAATCAGAGAGCAAAGCCCACTCTCTTTTGGATGTTACCTAGTTTGATAATGAAATGTCTGCAAGAAAACAACCACACTCAGAGAACACTAAGGACCCCAAAATCAACGAGGCAGTTCCCAGAGGCTCTTCCAGAGTAAAGTGCAGAGTTCAGCACAAAAGCTGTCGATACGCCAATTCAATGTAGAAGGGCAACTTTTGCTACAACAGCCAGAAAGCAGTCCCAAGCACGCCAAGCCTCTTCCCAGTTAGGAACTTCAACATCTGCAGAGATGATGTCACTCTCAAATTTATAATACTAATACTAATAATAATAAAGTTGGAAGGGACCTTGGAGGTCATCTAGTCCAATCCCCTGCTGAGACAGGAAACTCTATACCATTTCAGACAAATGGCTGTCCAGTCTCTTCTTAAAAACATCCAATGCTGGAGCATTCACCGCTTCTGGAGGCAGGTTGTTCCACTGGTTAATTGTTCTCACTGTCAGGAAGTTTCTCCTTAGTTCTAGGTTGCTTCCTATTATCTAGGTTGCTTCCTATTATCACATCCATATTCTGCATTCTCAAATCAGTTGACAGGGACTGAATCAGGGTGAGACTTCCCCATTCTTTGATTTTCTAAGAATAGCATCTCTTTGAATTCTGTTGCCAAAAGTCAAAATGCTGCTAGCCTTGCCTTTGGAAACCCACAGCTAACGGTGAATGACATTACTCTCACAATTTTTTTTTTCTCAATAAGGTTGTTTTAAAAAATGAAATACTGTGGATACGGGAAATTCTAGAACAGAAAGGTTTTTTGGGGCTGTTTTGTTAAAACTAAATCAGGTTTGGGGGAAATAAATCAACCTCGTGAGCCAACAGTAGTCAGCCAAGCTTCATTTACTAAGTGCCCTTATTATCTGAAGCCATATAAGTGTTAGCCAATTCCATTAATGTAAGAAAACCGAGATTAAAAAGATGATCAAATGGATCTCTTCTTATTTAAAAGTGGGGAAGGAGTTATATCAGGCAAACATCTCTCGGATGTTGTGGAATCCGTTCAGATAGTTTTGACTAGGTAGCCATGCTTAATTATCACCTTCTGCAAACTTCTGGCACTTAGAATACGCCATCCAATTTTAATCACCATATTATAAAAAAGATGTGGAGACTCTGGAAAGGGTGCAGAAAAAAGCAACAAAGATGACGAGGGGACTGGAGGCTAAAAGATACAAAGATCTTTGCAGCAATTGGGTTTGTCTAGTCTAGTGAAAACAAGCTGCTGAGATATGACAGCAGTGTTCCAATATTTGAGGGGGCCAACTTATTTTCCAAAGCACCAGAAGACAGGACAAGAAGCAACGGATGGAAACCAATCAAGGAGAAAAGCAACCTGGGAACTAAGGAGAAACTTCCTAACAGGAAGAACAATTAACCAGTGGAACGACTTACCTCCAGAATTTGTGGGTGCTCCATCACGGGAGACTTTTAAGAAGAGATTGGAGAACAATTGTTCTGAAATGGGATAGGGCAGTGGTGGCGAACCTATAGCATGGGTGCCAGAGGCGGCACTCGGAGCCCTCTCTGTGGGCACACGTGCCATGCCCCAGAGACGGCAACCGTCTCTCTTCAACCAACCGCCCGCTAATTCGCTGAGGTCCCACGTGGCCGGATGCATCCCAGCACAGCTGGTTTCCCTCCCCCTGTCCCATCCCTCCTGGCCTCGCATGCTCTCCTTTTCCTAGGCACCACCCACTGCATTGCCTCCTCAGGTGTCGTCCAGCCGTCCAGCTCAGAAGCGGCTTCTCTGAACTGCTGGCGGTGGGCTGCGGAGCCCCAGAGTGCGCCAGTCGAGGGGCCGACAGGCTGTGGCTGCTGACGGACACTGTCGCCCCCCATGTGCTCGCTGGCCTCTGTGTGCGGGGGCCGATGGTGTCAGGCACCAGCTGCCCCGGCCCCTGCCTCGCCTCACCCTGCAGCAGTGGCACCCCTGCCCTGCCTCACCTCAGCTCACCCCGCAGGACGAGCCTCCTGCCCACCGCCCCACCTGCCAGAGACCCCCTGGATCTCCCCCAACCCTGCCCAGCCCCCACAGGCACCCCTCCCCATGAGCAACATCAAGGTGACCATGCCCAGCTTGGCCACACCCACCAAGTCTGCCATGACCATCACAGCCACGCCCATCCAGTGGGCCACGCCCACCTGGCACCCGGCGATGCGTAAGTGGGTTTTGGGTTGCAGTTTGGGCACTCGGTCTCTAAAAGGTTCGCCATCACTGGTATAGGGTTTCCTGCTTCAGCAGGGGGTTGGACTAGATGACCTCCAAGGTCCCTTCCAACTCTTGTTATTCTGTCCTATTCTGTTCTGTTCTGATAAGCAAAGTCAGTTACGATAGTTGCAGTGTCCTGGGGTCACGCCATCGTCTTTGGCAACCTTCGGATAAGCAACAGTCCACGGGAAAGGCAGAGTCACTTAACAACCGTGTTACTAGCTTAACAATTGTAGTGATTGGTTTAAAAACTGGGGCAAGGAAAGTTGCCAAATGGAGCAAAATTCACTTAGCAACAGAAATTTTAGGCTCCACTGTGGTCGTAAATCGAGGACTACCCACCTGTGAGAAGAACCTGCAGAGAACTGTGCATAATGATTTGCCCATGTGTGTTTGGTCCCACGGCTTGCCCTTTTCAGCAAAACCCCAGGTCACAGGTTCTGACATTATCAACAGCCTCTTCTCAAGGACCCTAAAAAGAGAACACCCCGGGATTGCCAGAGAAGCGAAAACAGAAACTGCAGCTAGCTCACTTCCCCCTTAGCTACTGTAAAAGCGGGCTGATATTTTTAAATTACACATTTAAACTTTCACACATATGGCAGGAAAAGTTATTTTAGCTTCTGCTCGGCTGAAGCAGAGCTTACTGTATTAGTGGAGACCCGAAGCCTATGGAGGAAACAGGTAAGGAGCTTGTCAATTGCTTGGTAGGTAGCTTATGCTCCCCCCCCCCTTTTTTTTTTTTGTTAAAGAGAGAAAGGATTCCTTCAGACTCCTGGATTCAATCTGTCAATATTTGCAAAAAGGTTGTGATTGAGCTCTTGTCGGTCTGGAAGAATGG